CCGGTCCCACTACCCACCGTAAGTGTTCCCATCCTGACGCCTATACTCCTGCCAAGTTTGATGTCCTGCCACTCACCATTTGTGTTTTCATCCTGCCGCCTGTGCTCCTACCAAATTTGAACGTCCTTGGTCCACGGGGACAGGAGTTATGATTTTCCGCTGAAACATTTTGCTCGCACAAACCCCGCCCCTGTGGGCGGGATCCGGTACTGCCACCCATCATATGTGTTCCCATCCTGCCGCCTGTACTCCTACCAAATTTGAACGCCCTAGGTCCACGGAGACAGGAGTTATGAATTTCCGTACAAACAGACAGACAGACAGACAGACAGACAGACAGAAGACGGAAGGACAGACAGACGCGAGCGCTCTATATAAAGTAAGGATATGCATGCTTCTCCAGGTGTAGCAGACAAATAAGAAACCAATACATAATTGATTATCTACGGAATGTGGACTGATATGGTTAACGGAGAGACTGAAGCTCAGCGATCTAGTTCTGTACACATTTATTTTCACTTGTTGATTTCATCACTATTTCATCATGTTCTATTTGTGTAGTTTTTTTTCATGGTATATATTCTGTCGAGACACATACTGTAGTTTTAGATTGGCGTTTGAAGGAAAGTCACGATACTTGGTAGTGTCCAGTTGAGTGGCGTGCTGGAGATGGCGGTACTTATCCCCAAATTCCGACGGCATGCGACAGTGGTTCCGTGGCGACTTCCATACCTTCCACTAAGAATTCAAACCTTTCCCTTCGTAGCGCGCGATCGGGTGCAACGAGCGCGATGCGATTCATATTTAGTAGTACCCTCATCCATGCTGAATGATGTGTGCTGGGAAATGCTGCTGTTCAATTTCTTTCCAACAAAAATTCATCAATGGCAAAGTTCCTCCTTCCCAGTTTACCCCAATTGTCGTATTGTATATTTTTCGGATTCTAGTTTTCAAAGTAGCACCTAATATTATTTCTCTCGACTCCAGGCTCGAAACGCTAGTAGCCAACTGCTTCTTTTGGGGCTGTTTGGCATGGTGCTCATAGCCAAAGGAATCATATTTTCAGCGGAGGAAAACACAGAGTGAAATCTTTGCACATCGGTTCTTAGTCTGCTGGATCAATTGCTTGCTGGATCAATATTCTTTACCTGAAGTTCCTTCACGATTCAGGCAAACGAGCATTTTTTAGCATTTTTAGTTCAGCTTCAGTTGAGGGAGATTCTCGCAAAAAAAATACCTCCATCATCATGTCATGGCTACATGAAGTTGGAGTGTCTTTCATTGTCATTCACACATCTATCTGTCTAGGCTTACGATCCGAGAGATTGTGACGCTCCCAATATTGGTTCGGGGATGAAATATGCCCGTCATTCTAGTTGTGACTTTGAAAAACCTTTAGATCCCGAAAGGCTTGGGGGTTATACTCTTCTATTTGCTCTTCATGTGAATTACAAGCGGCATATGCAATCTATCTCCAAAACTATTAGTCTGGGACCCTCGGCCGGGAAATGGCTGTTGGAGTGGCTGCTTTTCGTA